TATCTATCTATCTATCTATCTATCTCTCTGTCTATCTGTCTGTCTATCTTTTTATTTATTTATTTATTTGTTTGTTTGTTTGTTTATTGTGATTTTTAAATGAAGTTAAACTCTATCTATCTATCTATCTATCTGTCTGTCTCTCTGTCTATCTTTTTATTTATTTATTTATTTGTTTGTTTGTTTGTTTATTGTGATTTTTAAATGAAGTTAAACTCTATCTATCTATCTATCTATCTGTCTGTCTCTCTGTCTATCTTTTTATTTATTTATTTATTTGTTTGTTTGTTTGTTTATTGTGATTTTTAAATGAAGTTAAACTCTATCTATCTATCTATCTATCTGTCTGTCTCTCTGTCTATCTTTTTATTTATTTATTTATTTGTTTGTTTGTTTGTTTATTGTGATTTTTAAATGAAGTTAAACTCTATCTATCTATCTATCTATCTGTCTGTCTCTCTGTCTATCTTTTTATTTATTTATTTATTTGTTTGTTTGTTTGTTTATTGTGATTTTTAAATGAAGTTAAACTCTATCTATCTATCTATCTATCTGTCTGTCTCTCTGTCTATCTTTTTATTTATTTATTTATTTGTTTGTTTGTTTGTTTATTGTGATTTTTAAATGAAGTTAAACTCTATCTATCTATCTATCTATCTATCTATATCTGTCTGTCTGTATGTCTGTCTGTCTATCTTTTTATTTATTTGTTTGTTTGTTAGTTTGTTTATTGTGATTTTTAAATGAAGTTAAACTCTATCTATCTATCTATCTATCTATCTATGTATCTATCCAGTGTGTGGCGCAGAGTGTGTGAGGTTCCTCAGTGTCTCGCAGGGAATCCCGTTTCACTTCCGTCACTCGGTAGGTTCGGTAGTTAAACCTCCGCGAGCGCGAATCAATCACTCGTCCGTCACTCGTCTCGTCTCCCGCTGGCGCTCAAACGGAGCGCGTGACGTCACCGCAGCGAGGGATTCCGGTTCTCAGGTGTATCCCGTCCTGTCTGTCTCTCCGGCGGTCGGTCGGTCTTCAGCTCTTACCGGGAATAACGCGGCGGACCGCGCGTCTCAGCGACATGGGAAAGACTCGAGCGCTGCTCCTGCTGTGCGCCGCTGTCGGTGAGTTTGCTGCGGGAAAAACTCGGCTACAAATGTAGCAAAGAAATGACAAACCCTCCGCGAACGGCGTGAGTCTGTTGTATTGACAAGTAACAGCGTTCCTGTCAGAAGCATCAAATTGTTTCGCCAGGTGACCTAAAATGTGTTTCACGTGGTGACATCTGAATTAGCTGCTTTTCTTTCTGTCAAAATATGATTTACTATGAACCTGATTACATAAGATTATAGTGATTGCACTTTTTACAGCGTTAACCATTGCTGCTTTGCACGCTTAATGAGATCTTATTTAACCTCTCAATCATTATAGAATTATTCTGCCGTAATTTCTTCTTATTATTAGATTTGCAAAATCAAAATTTACAGTAAATACCTCAAAGGAAGTAAAGTGTATGCATATTTAAGTATAGTTTATATTTGCATGCTAAATTAACAATAACTATAACCATTATAGGACTAATCTGTCTTGAATTCGGACTATTTTTAATTTTGCATTGTCAAAATTTAAAGTACCTCAAAAGGCATATTATATGAGATCTAATGATCTCTAAATCATTATAGAATTGTTCTGCCTTGATTTCTTACTATTATCAGATTTGCATGGTCAAAGTTTAATTTAAATACCTAAAACAGAGTATAGGATTTGTGGTTTAGATTTGCATATTAATTGAGATCGAACCTCAGCTGTGAATCACAATAGAATTGTTCTGCCCTGATTTTCTTGAATGTTTATATTTGTGCGGTAAAGTTTATTGTAGCTCACATAATGCAAATTATAGCATTTTCATATAAAATGTGAATTTTGTGTATGTAAAATGTGAAAGTAGTTTTCTAACTAATCCTCTTATTATTCTTATAAAATGTTGATTTATTACGGTTTTAGCATAGTCAAATATACTGTAGTCTACTGAAATTGAAGACTTAAATAATATTAAATAATTGATATAAATGACACGCAATGACAAAAAAAAGATCAAGTTGGTTATTTTAGTATGATTATAGTTTTTAGTTTGAATTTTTATATTTTCCTTTTTAATTTAAAATTTTGTTTTTGAAATAAATTTTTTTTTTTTTTTAAATAAAGTTATTTTTATAATCTTATTTCAATTAAAAAAAAATGTTTTTAACTCATTTTATTTTTTAACTAAACTAAAATGAGAACTGGTGCCTTGGGAACTAGTGGAAATAAAATGTTTTTTAGATGTTTCTATATTATTTTATTTGAGTTAAAGTTTATTTATTTCAAGTGACAGAAATGTTTTATTAATGGGTTTAGTTTTAATTTTAGTGTTAGTCAACTAATAACCCTGCATTATGACATGAATGACATGTAAACTTATACTCTTCAAAATAATTGTTGTAATTTGAATCAAAAAGGGTTTCACAGCCTTCGTAAGTTCCTCAAATAACATTTTATTCACTAGTTCTGTAGAAAACCTTCAAAACACTGATCTGAAGAACCTGTAAAGAACCACCATGAACTTTTAATCTTCAAAGAGCCATATAGTTGGTTTTTAAAAGCAATTATTTTTACAGGAACGTGGCATAACGTATCTGCTTTGCATATTACATGAGACCTAAATAAACCTCTAAATTATTATAGAAATGTCTTGATTAAAAGTTTCAGATTTACATAGTCAAAACATATAGTGTCTACATTAAAATGTTGTTGGTACAGTAGCATTTTCAATTCATGAGTTTGTACAGTGTGAGATGCTGACATGTCTGGGTTTTATGCATGCATGTATTTGCATATGCATATTCTCATGTGCACCTGTGCACATAAACAAACTTCAAACCAGACCAGAATATATCACCTCTCCTCCATTTTCTTGCTATTCTGTATTCATTTATCACAGACCGGTCTGTTAAACACTCCTGTATTGACTTCAAAGCTAAAAAAAAATTAAGAATTTGTGATTTTCCAACGCTGACCAGATTCCCAATAGACTTGATTTACTTGAAATATAGTGCAAAAGAGAATAAATGAGTATATGGTGAAAATAACAATGCTTTAAAGCACACATTTCTCCTGTGTCTTCCCCAGTTTTGAAGTTGCTCAGTAGGCACCTACAGCCGAAAGCGTGTCAGTGTGTGTTACAGGAGCTTTCCTGAAAGAAAGGAATATTTTAGGATAGTCTTTTTTCGTTTTGTGTCATTTGCAAGTCTAGTGGGGTGAGAGTGACAGAGTTATCATTAGCATGGTGCTTCATTTGCATTTGTGGTCTTTTTTTTTATGAAAGTGCTGCATGCTTTGAAGATAATCCTCATAATCCCATTGTAAAGTGCCATATACCAAACCATAGTCAGCACCTGTGTGCTTATGACACCAGGAATCAGGTTAAATATTCAGATGTTGTGGTAAAGTTATACATAATTAGTGACGCTTCCTCACTTTTCACCATCCAGTCAATTTCAGATGCACTGATAAAATGTGAATAAGAGATGCCCAAACTTGACTTTTAGTTTATATTATATATCTGTTTTTTATATAATATTGTAATTTATGTAATTATATTGTATATAATTTTTAATTTTGTTTGAACTTTTTTGGTTTTATTTGTGCATTGAAATCTTAAAAACAATGTAAGTGAATCTACTTTAAAAAATGTAATTACATTGTTTATATATATATATACAATAAATAATTAAAGGGGTCATATGATGCGATTTCAATTTTTCCTTTCTCTTTGGAGTGTTACAAGCTCTTGGTGCATAAAGAAGATCTGTAAAGTTACAAAGACTAAAGTCTCAGATCCAAAGAGATATTCTTTATCTCTTTAAATATATATATATACACACACACACATAAAATATCTAATAATTCTTAAATCAAGTTATATTTACTTAATAAATCAAATTACTTAATATTACTTAACATAAAACCTTGTTTTCGGGGAAAAATCATCAAAATTAAGTGAGTTGATTTATAAAACAAGTAAAAAATTCATGTCAGTGGGCAAGAAAAATAAACGTAATTAAAGGGAAAGCAAGATTATTTTTCTGACCCCACTGGCAGATACTTTTTCTTATTTTAAGCATAAACTCACTTGACTACATTTTTCAGTGAACAAGACAAGTCATGTTGTGTCTCAAGAAAATGTATCTTGAGCTAAAAATGTTTAGATATTTGTACTGGGAAACAAGACAAAAATACTGAGTAAAAAAATTATTTTCTGCGGTGTAAAAACACTTCAACAATGAAAGCAGGAAAAGTGTGTTAAATACAAACACACATTTTAAAAAATCATTATTAGTAAGAGTTGGGCATGCAGTGCAATGCATTAACTATAGCTTATGTGTGACGTGTTTAAAAGCACTAAACTGTTCAGTGTTTTTGTCTGTGAAGAAGCCGAAACGCTGAACGCCAGCAGCGTTCATTATGCAAAATTCACTGGGTTAATGATATTATCAGTATCTTTAGTTCATGAGCACTGACTGAACATGTTGAAAATTAGAATAATCGCTGCAGATTTGTGTAAGAACCCACAGGACATGTAAAACATCTCAATTGTTTCTCCTGACAGCAATGATATTAAATGCATGTTTCTTCTAAATAAGACCCCAGTAGCAAGAAGTCTCTTCTGCTCACCAAGCTGCATTTATTCGATCAAAACTTCAGTAAAAAATTATGAAATATTATTACAATTCCAAATAATTGTTTTCTAAGTGATTATATGTTAAAATGTAATTTATTGCTATAAATAAAACCTGAATTTTCAGCATCGTTGCTCTAGTGTCACATGATCTTCAGAAATCATTCTAATATGCTGATTTGCTGCTCAAGAAACATTTCTGAATATTATCAATGTTGAAAACAGTTGAAAACGTATTTCAAATGCATTAAAACAATCTTAATTATTCCAAGCTTTTGACCGTATTTTATCAAAAACAAAACTGATCCATTTATGCAACAACTGAGAAATAATACTGGCACCAACATAAAATCTGGTTGGAACAGAAGTTCTCCTGTTCCCTCTGAGGGTAATCGGTATTAGAAATATTTAAAGATTGTATACTGATCTGCAGAAAGTCTGTGTAATGATGTTGACTTCATGTAACACAGCTCATTACAGCATTTCTTTGGTTTGTTGGGTTTGTCTTCACATTTCCGCTGTAGATGAACACCGTTGCTGCGCGGCACACTAGCTCAATCTACACTCTAAAAGATGCTGGCTTATTTTTTCTTCCCAACCGCTGAGTTGAGCTTGTTGGGTCGTATTTTCCAGTGTTGGGTTAGTGGTTTGGTCAACCTCACTGACAGCAGAAACTACACCCCACCCCCTCCGACCCAACCACCCAGCTGCTGATTACACTTGAATTAAAGTGTTACTTTTAGTTTTAAATGTCAGACTTTTCTTTTCATTTCTAAAATGCTTGTTAAGCAAGTTTAAATGTATGGAATATTGTAAACTATGCTGTGTATTCATTGAAATTCATTGTATTCTTGCTGTATTCTGTTTGTGATCTCTAATTTCCAACCCAGTCAGCAATATAGTAATTTTTAAACAATTGTTGAATCTATCCACCCACCCATCCATCCATCCATGTCTGTCCATCCATCCATCCATCCATCCATCTGTTTGTCCATCCATCTATCTATCTATCTATCTATCTATCTATCTATCTATCTATCTGTCCGTCCGTCCGTCCATCCATCCATCTGTTTGTCCATCCTTCCATCCATCCATCCGTCTATCTAATCGCCTATCAAATCGTCCTTCTATCCGTCTATCTCTGTATCCATCCATGCACTAACAGTGGAAGATTATGTGACAAGAGAAAAACACACACCTTTTTGAAAGTCTTAACTCAAGACTTTAGATGTGTTAACATGAGACTAGTGAGTTTAGTCCATTTACTAATCAAGTGCACTAGATATATACAGTTAGAATTATAGATTATAGAATGTTTTTGTGCTGGTCATTTTGTACTGCAGTCTCTTTCCTTTGGGCCGGTGGCTCACAGTTGATTGCAACAGAGCAAGTAAAGACTTTTGAATGCATTTAGAGAGTTTACTACTTTGATTGCATCAGTTGAGTTCACCTCTGATGGTCAAACTCGTCGATCTGGTTCTGTCACTGATGCATGACGTTCATGATCAGATCCGGCAGACACAAAGTCTGCTTTTATTGTGTCAGACTAACATTGATTCTTTTCAGTAATGCTCTGAGTTTTGTTTCACTTTTATGTGCGTCTATTTATAAAGTCCACTGGTTGGATGACGATGTACAATGGCATTTCCTGCCATATTATTACTGTAATTCATTGACAGTAAGGTGTGTTAAAGCAAACACATGCCATTTTTATTCTTCATGTCTGTGTCATTCAGTAATAATTATTGGTTGCATTTGAATTAGAATTTACCTGTATTTTTTGCATGTAAAACTTTACCAGCTTATTTAAAATTAAGGAGAGGAAAGTAAAAAAGTGAAGTGCAGTAGTAAAATAAAATGCAATATCTAACAACAGAGAGACAAGAGACAAACTTGTGTACTGAAAATCCAAATGTCATGTTGAGTAGACTTTCCCTAATTTTTAAAGCTAAAGAAACAAAAATGATAAATGTGCTTCTTTGAAATACTAATGTAATGTTCTAATTTAAAGTAGGATTTTCATTGTCTGATACTGATAGAGCAGACTGACAAATAATATTTCAAAGAAATAATAAAATTATTCATCAATGATGCAGTAAACTGATCAAAATTGACAGTAACAATGTTTAACAAAAATGTTACAAACGATTTATATTTCAAATAAATGCTGGTCTTTTTAACTGTCCATTCAAAAGAATCCTGAAAAAAATTAATCACAGTTTCCACAAAAATATTGGGCAGCACAACTGTTTTCAACATTGATAATAATCAGAAATGTTTCTTGAGCAGCAAATCAGCATATTAGAATGATTTCTGAAGGATCATGTGACACTGAAGACTGGAGTAATGATGCTGAAAATTCAGCGCTGCATCACAGGAATTACATTTTACAATATATTCACATAGAAAACAGCTATTTTTAATTGTAATAACGTTTCATAATATTTCTCATTTTTTCTGTATTTTTCTGTACTTGGTGAGCAGAAGAGACTTCTTTCAAAAATATTAAAAAAATTTACTGACCCCAAACTTTTAAACGGTAGTGTACATAAAATGACATGTATACTATTTCAGTATTTTCAGATTGTGCAAAAAAAAAATTGAAAATGCTTAGTATACTGAAAAATAATTTCAGTTTTCACTCTGAAATTGCTAGTAAATTTCACAAATAATTACACAGAATCTAACACATTGGATTAAATGTGAAATTCTGAAGTAGATAAACTGAAATAGTATTTTATTGTAAAACATACTGCAATAAAAAATGACAGATTATTTATTGGCTTTTGGGAGATTTTGGATGCTACACAAATTTCCAGTCAACAGATAAATCAACCTGGCCGATATATCGGTTTATCGGTGTGTTAGTGCTTGTACCTCTTCTCTAAAACTCTTATTTTCTCATCTATTTCAGTTGTTCCCAACAGTCTGATTGTTGCTCCCGATGCCCCAAACCCTGTGGTTCGTGAGGGCGGATCCGTCAGACTCCTGTGCAACGTCTCCCGCAACTTCATGGAGGGAATTTACCTGTCTCTTACCTGGTCAGTCAAGAAGGGCTCATCTCTGCTGGAGGACCTGCTGACCTTTGGTCCAGATTTGGGCGTGACGGTTGGCGACGACTACACGCTGCGCTACACAGATGGCGGGATGCGGCTAGAAATGGGAAACGGCGTCTCGCACAGTCTCGTGCTCTCCGGAGCGACGCCGGCCGATCAGGGCATGTACGTGTGCACAGCCAGACTGTGGACGAGAGAGCAGGGAGCCTGGAACCGCATTCAGGAGAAGACCGTGGAGATGGGAGAAGTGACTGTCACCCCTACAGGTTAGTAACTCTCTAGAACAACACAATAAAAATAGCCCATAGCACAACAGAATAAAGCCACAACACAGTGGAATTAAAATATATTAGTAGAAATGATGTAAGATTCACTTATGTTAATTTGCATTTTTCATATTTTCAGAAATTTTTAGGAGAATTTTAGAGAAACCGTCACACTCAAATTCTGCCATTTGCATAGATAATGCATCTAGATGCATCTTTACTATTTATAGTATTAATTCAGATTTAGAATTGGCTACTACTTTTTTATATTTTTTGTATTCACCTTAGTTTGTGCTTGAGTTTTTAATTATGTAAATTAAATTATTCAATTAAATTATACATTTCATTAGTTTAATTATGTAAATTTCATTATGCATTCAATTACATTATAAATGAAAATGTTTGTGTATATTATGCAAATTAAATTGTGGATTAAACTAAATGATAAAATATTCGTTTTTTAATTGTACATGCAATAAAATGAAATTATGAATTATATTAGTTTTTGCTTTTAAATTGTGTAAATTAAATAATGCATTCATTGAAATTAAATCATTTAGTTTTTTTTTAAATAATGCATTAAATCAAATTAAATTATAAATTATATTAGTTTGTTTTAATGTGTAAATTAAGTTATGCATTATATTTTAATTGTATAAATTATGCATTCGTTGAAATTAAATGATGAATTATAAATTATATTAGTTTTTTTATTTTTATAAATAATATAAATTAAACTATACATTCAATGAATTTAAATTACAAAGTTTAGAATAGTTTTCAAATTATGTTAATTCAATTATAAATGGTTAGTTTTTTATTTTGCATTAAATTAAATTAAATTATATTCGTTTTTTTAATATGCATTCAGTGAAATTAAATTATGAATTTTAAATTGTATTTTTTATGTAAATAAAAGTATGCATTAAATGTCATTTAAATTATGTAAAAAAAAAAAGTATGCATTTTATACATTAAGTTTCTTGCTAAAGTCTTGAAAAGCAAACGTCAATTAAAGGAAAAGTGAATATATTGAAAATTCTGACGTGCACATTCTTGATTCCTTTAATTATCTTCCATTATGGCTTTATACTGTTATGTATTTGCTTAATATTGTCAATTTCATCAGTTTAGTTGTGTTGTGCCCTCCTGGGAAACTGTCATGATCATGATGCCATGAAATAATCCAATTTGATCGGATAAAAGTACTTACGATGAATCATTGTTATGCAATTCGCTCGGATGATCTTTAAACAACAGTTGTGATCAAATGAATAAATAAGTTGCATTTGGAGGAAAAAGAGAATGAAAGAGATTTGATTATGGTTGTTGAAGTCATGCAGCGCCTCCCTCGAGAAGAGTAGATATGCTCTTTTGACCGGTTTGATCTTGTTTAACGTCTTCAGACCTTTCTCACAAACCAGGCTGTTTGAATTCTCGTTGCCAGTGAAATTCCTGCCTGGTTACCATATATACTGTCAATGTTACGCAGAGTTTTAATTAAAATCGTGAAGACTGCGGGTGTCTGGAGAACCATCCAGCAGACATTACACAAACACAAACTCTCAGAGTCTTTGTGTTGTTTGAGATTGTAACTAGAAGATGTTCAGAGAATATAAAGCACAGAAGCAGTCTGTGTCATCTAACGTGATGTGCTGAATATCACTGAGCCCCAGGAGAAACGATTGAGAGTTTGCTTTGAGAAATTAAAGGAATAGTTCAACCGTAAATGACAATTCAGGCATCATTTGCTTACTTCTGTTATGGCACACCTGGAATAAGTTGCTTTTTTCTGTGGAAAACAAAAGGAGAAATTCAGCAGAATGTTCATGCTGCTCTTTTCCGTATAATAAAAGTATATTTTATTATTTTATTTATAATTTTGTTATGTGCTTTTACTGTTTTTATACTATTATAGTATTTATAAATATTTTAAATTAGCTTTAATGCTTTGCATTTTAATTTTAGTTTAAGTTTTAGTCATTTTATTGTGCTTTTATTTTCATGCTATTATATTATTTATTCATATTTTGAATTAGCTTTTATTTTTTCTCTTCCATTTCAATTTTAGTTTAAGTTTTAGTCATTTTATGTTCTTTTTGTAATTTTTGTTCATTTTTTAGCTTTGTTTTTATTTCAGTTTTAGTCATTTTAGTAACATTTTCCTGCAAAGTTTAGAATTTCTGATTCTATTTTTTTAAGTGTTTATTTTTCATATGATGCATGTTTCCTTTTAATGCTTTTTTATATGCTTTTAAATGTGCTATAGAAATACATTTTGCCTTTGCCAAGGCAGTATTAAATCTACTATTTGTATTATATTTTATTTTCAGCTTTAATTCATTTACTGAAAATTATTTTTAACAGTTTTAGTGGTTTGGACCGACATGAGGTTGCAAATGCATCACTGTTACTCTTACCGTATGTGTTTATTTAGTTTGCATCATTAAGATCTGAATAATTTCAGTTCCATCTCTAATACTTGCATATTGTCTGCTTTTCTTTCTCTTTAAATCGTCAGCGAGCTCCCTCAGCGTCCAGGTTCAGGACGACAGCACACTGTCCACAGGAGAGACGCTGCTCCTCACCTGCTGGGTTTCTGCCGAAGCCTCGGTGGATCTGGAGGTGGCGTGGCTGATGAACGGCACGCGAGTTCTGGCCCGTCTGAGTCGTGACGGCGTGCTGACCAATGCGTCTGATGCGGTGGATGTGAGGCGGCTGGGAAAGCGGGATTTCCAGCTCAAGGTTCACGGTGTGGAGCTATCTGATGCAGGACTCTATGCGTGTAAAGCGAGTGCGTGGGTTCAGCGCGACGGCGGACGATGGGACCGGGCCGCGGAGAAGATTTCGGACCCCGTACGCGTTCACGTTATTAAGCAAAGTAAGTACGTTGCTTAACTTTCATCGGAGTGTCTGAAGTATCATTCATAATATCATGACTCTTAACATAAACACCCCGCAGCGTCTCACGTTTTGTGGCAAAGTGTGACATTTCGAGAAAATGCCATCTGAAGCTCTTTAGAGCTGCATATAAATGCGTTCTGCTTCCCTCATCCATAAAATATTAATTTGATGTTGATTATTTGGTATTTCAATGACATTAAAAGCATGATATGCCATTTATATTAGTGCACTGGAAAATATCTTCCAAGCGATGGCCTTGGGTTTTAGAAGATGATTCGCAGATCACGTTTTATCAGACTAATGTGGATGAGGCATCTTTTAGTATCAGTTAAGACTGGATAATATAGCTAAAATAATCATTTTAAAGCTGCATATATCTATATTTATGTATTCACTCTAAAATGACTTAAAACTGTAAACAAATTCAAGGAACTATTTAGTTATTGCTGGCAAGATATTTGATTTAATACCTAAACAGTAAATTAAGTAGATTAAAAATAATCAAGGCATATTTTCACACTTTTTTACTAAATGAACACAAACAATTTTCATTTACACTGTCATTCCAATTTTTTTAAAACATAAATTAATACTTTTATTCAGCAAAAATGCATTCAATTGATCAAAAGTTACAGTAAAGACATGCATAATGTTATAAAACGATTTCTATTTCAAATAAATGCTGTTCTTTTGTAGTTTATATTCATCAAAGAATCCAGAAAAATACAATGTATCAATTTCCACAAAAATATTGTGCAGCACAACTGTTTTCAACATTGATAATAATCAGAAATGTTTCTTGAGCAGCAAATCAGCATATTAGAATGATTTCTGAAGATCATGTGACACTGAAGACTGGAGTAATGATGCTGAAAATACAGCTGCGCATCACAGAAATAAATTACATTTTAACAGATATTCACACAGAAAACAGTTATTTTGAATTGTAAAAATATTACAAAATATTACTGAATTTACTGAAATCTTTATCGAATAAATGTAGCCTTGGTAAGCAGAAGAGACTTAATTTCAAAAACATTTTACCAATAGTGTATATGAAATCAATAAAGAGACACATTTCCATGCATGTATTTTATTTAAATGCTTTAATAATTAAAAATGCCTTGTGGGAACCTGCAAACTTTGCTGAATCAGTTTTAATGATTCACTCAAACGGACAGTTTGAAATGATTCATGGAAGTGAATCATAAGAGTTTTTATCTGTCACCAGTTAAATGATCACAAATATCTGACTATTCAAAATATCGTTCCGCCCTTAGAACCGTAAGTGTAAAACCACAGATAAAATCAAGTATGCTAGACTAAGCATGGTATTTTACCACCACTACTAGACTGGTGAGTTCTTAACCCGTCCATCAATGTCAGTTGTCTAGAAGTGAAAGTAGAAAGGTTGCATTCGTTAGATTTGCGGTCTGTTTGTAATAGTTTAGCTCTGTCGTGTTAATAAGCAAGCTTCAGGCATGAGATGCATGTGTTTGCGTCGTGTTTCTGAAGATCCGCTCTGTCACCTATAATGCATGAAGGCTGTGGGTGGTCTTCCTGATGGAGGACTGCTGTCTAAGCCCCGGTGCTCATGTTAGAAGTCAGCGTTAGTCGTTTGGGATCTCGTTGTCAGCGTGATTCGCAGGGAAGAGCTTCAACTTGTTTATTCTGTGAGGAACTACAGAGAAAGAGAAGGCGTCGCTCACCTTAAAAGGCAAACTCTGGTGTTGTTTACTCATCTCAATGAGTCTGAAATGCGTAGGATTTTGTTTCAGCTCCAAAAATACAGAAAACAACATAAAACTGGCTCATACGACTGGTTCAGTGACATCAAACTTGTGTTTGGTTGTGCACATTGTTTGAAGACCAGACAGAAAATTAGGTCATTATTCACTGAAACCTGAATTATTCACTGAAATAGATTCTTAAATGGATTGTGATTAGTGCATTCCAAGATATCTTAATTTCAATAGAAGAAACGTTCTACAATATACCGGCAGTGCTCCAGACTAAAATTACTTTAAAATAAAATAAAAAAGTAACAAGCGTTCAGAAAGAAAAGAAAAAGCATTACAATATTTAACAAAAACCAAAAAGAATTAAAACAGCATGAAATATTAAAAGAAACACAAAGTAGGTGAACTACTGGCATTTCCAGAATGGCAAAATAGCAAGATTCGCAGTGCCAGGTTTGAGATTAATAGGTTTCTATTTACGTTTTGAATGCTTGTTTGTAAAACAGTTTTATGTTAACTTAAGATAAAATGATTAAAAACATTTTTGGTAATAATGCCTTGAAACTAAGTGAAATAAGTTTATGTTGAAGCATTAAAATTACTGATCGGAAATAAATAAAAACTAATAATAATTATTATTTAATTAAACTAAACTGACATAAAGCTAAAACAGAAATACAACTAAATGAAAACTATAATATAATATAATATAATATAATATAATAAACAGTAAAAATGGCAAAAGCACAAAACAAAATAAAAAACATAAATGAAAATGAAAAATTTTGCAATGGCAAATAACTGGAAAAAGTTTTACAAATTAATCAAGTCTATAAAAAAACATTGAAAAAATATGCAGCAAAATTAACAAAAATCGAAATTAAAACTGAAATTAAAAATAAAAATAAAAGCTAATTCAAAATATTAGTAATACTATAATCATTTAAAGATAATAAAAAGATATATAAAAAAAATTTAAATTAATGAATTTAAATAAATAAAAATACATTTAAAATAACACTGCTTGATGCCAGATTTTTCTATGTAATCTAGATGTAATTTAGTGTCATGCTGTTTTCTGACAAACTATTTTCTATTGTCCTCATTTGTAAGTAGCTTTGGATAAAAGCATCTGCTAAACGATTAAATGTAAATGTAACAGGATGAAGAAGTGCACAGATCAAATGCTGTTTATTACCTTACTTTCCAAGCATTTTCCTTTAGTGTGAGGAAAGCGTCCTTTTACAGATTTCCTACAGAAAAAAAGCAACGTTTGGGATGGCATACAGGGTTTCAATATTTAATGCAGGAAATTCCCACCAGCACTGTAGACCAACAACTTTCTGAACCATAAAAAAAGACTCAGAAAACATCACGTATTGTCTGTGACTTCCTGAAGTGGCCTGGGTCGTGTTTTCAAGGCCAGATGTGACGATAAACGTCTTTTTAAATATACATCTGGAATCTAGATGGTCTATAGTCTCTCTAGAGCACAACAGCAGGTTTTCACAAGCTTAAATCTATAAAGAAGATTTGCAGGACTCTTGACTTTGGCGGACTGCATTCAAATAATAATTTGTTTTTGCTGGTGGAGGTTTATTTGTAAAACTAGAGCCAATGAAGGCATTGAGTGTGTGCGGTAAATCAACACTCACTCACTCACAAACTTACACAACCTCTTTAACCTGCGTTAAGTGAATGTTATTATTGGTTTCCAGTATCCCAGCTCCACCCCACTGCGCTCTACAGTCACGTCACTTAACTTTAAAGAGAATCTCGATGTGTTAGAGCCGCTTTCGTTTCCGCAGAACAGCCTTGAATGTGTTGGCTCTCGTTCGTTAAAAACGCGGTTTCAGGAAACGGGTTTCTCCTGCCAGAAAACACCTGACCTGTGCAACTGCTAATGTCTGAACTTGACAACGTGTTTTTGTGTGGGACGCCTGAAAGTATTGTTTTTCCCTCCTTTGTTTTCTCACTTCCTTCGCTTTGGACGCTTTGAGACGCTCCTGATCCAAATCTGTTCAGAAAGTAGGCAGCATGATTACGCTGATGGATCTTTTCCCTCAAACTGGGAGCATCACATATACACAACTGTTCAAAAGTTATGTAATGTTTTTCATAAAAAATCTCTTATACTCACCACATGCTTATTATAGTTAGGAAGCATTTTTG